TATTAAAACTTGTTATCCAAAGGAAAAAAATAGTAGCTTCATGAAGTTATATTTCAAAATTCTTTCTCTCAGTTATTTTTTGAAGATATTCCAGATGTCAGAGAGGTAGGAGTGGAGCGTAACTGAGAGCTCAGAAGTGTGATGCTTGTTAACCGGAAGCTGTGTCAGGAGGGGTCAGAGTGAGTCAGCAATTTTGAGCACATCATCTGGAAAGTGGGGAAATGTTCCGTGGTCACTGGATTGTATGATAGAAAATCTGTGTGCTACTAAACACATCCCTGAGACATAATATTGACTCCCTACATGTTAAATAAATATGACTATAATAATTAGTGTATGTTAAATAAACAAAAATAAAGGTAAGAAGTAGCATTTATCAAAGGCATTCATATGCTTAATAGCACTTTCCATGATTATAAGTTTCTCAGTTACCTAACACAGCAGAAAGAAATAATGACTTAGCATCATGTAAACTCTCAAAGGCAAATTCCTTTCATGAGTACTTTCCAAGATAATAGCATAATTAGAAATATTTAATCCGGGTTTTATTAATGATGGAAAACAATTTGGTGACATCATTTTAGATCATTACCTAAAATAAATCTGAATTCTATTCTGACCTATTTCACACAATAATTTTGTACCCTCACCTACTTTCAAATGCACATAATAAACTTAGCAAGGATTCAGAAGGGATGAAATATTCTTGAGTTACTACCAGAGAGAGGCTCAAGGCCTAAGAGAATTTGGCTCTATAGATCTGTTAACCTCCCTGTCAGAAAATTCACATGAATTCTTCCAGGAGCAGAAGAAGTAGCCCCAAGGACTTTACTTATTGAAAGGGGGCAGAGTATCTTTAGGGTTCAGAGAGCAGGCTGTCTAGTCTCAATTATGAGCCCATCTCTTATTAACTGGTTGACCTTAGTTTCCTCATCGGTTAAACCAGAATAGTAATACTTTCTGCCTCACAGGACTGTGTGAAATAATAAAATGTCTATTAAAGCAAATGCATATGAAATGCTTTGTACAGTGTCAAGATGATAATTCAATAAATGTTAGTTATTACTCTGTATATTCTGAATAAAGTTGAAAGAGAAAGTGTAGACCAGCAGTATAAGATAGACAAGATACTTCAAAGTCCGCACAATATGGACCCAAAGGCCAGCTTTGTTTAGTAAATCTACACTCCAAAGTTTAGGATAGCCTATCCTACCTGGCATTTCAAATGATTAGAATGGACGATATATCTAAGGTATCCCTTTTTTTGATCAATGATGGTGCAACATGATTATATATTATGTGTAAATTTCTTTTTCTTGAAACCTAGGTAGATTATGGAATCGCAACAGGTTTGCCAATTTGAAGTTGCTTCTAAATTGCCATTAACTGGTTACTTAATTATACGCATTTTATATTTTCTTGAAAGCATTAAAAAATTCACTTCTAGTCTGATCCAAGCAACCATATGTCCATAGTATTAGTAAAGCACACCACAGCTGATGTTTAAGCTAATGGAATGAGAAATGTATCACATATCTGCTTTGAATAGTTCATTTATGCTGTTAGAGTGAGAACATAGTAGTTTCCATCTGTACTTCAGAAATTAAACATTTGCTTCTGAAAGATTTCATTTTAATTGGAACTAATATTAGTTTACTAGTAAAAGGCCTTTAGAAGAGTTAAAATGAAATCATGTTGCAGTAATGAACAGGCTGTGTTATACAAGCATTTTTGCTTGAGGTACCCCGACTCTTTCTCACGTTATCTCATATGGCAGTGTAAAACAGATCTTTACATGATTTGGGTTTTTTTTTTGTGTGTGTGTGTGTGTGTGTGTGTCAAAATCTGTGTGGGAAGATGATGGGAGCAGTTACAATAACAGATGAAAGACGATCATTGTATTGGGTACTTATTTGATAAATGAGAAAATAACATTTTCTAATGGGGAGGATGGTGAATAAAAATGCTTTGTAAATCACAGGTTCCTACAGGTTTTCAGACCAAATCTCTTTGTACTAAACTGCCTTTAAAGAGGTTAGAAACGGCTTCGTCCTGTCCTTTGGAGTGATAGTAGTGAAGGGGGGTTTGCTGTTCACGCCAGAACCTGAAGGAATTGTGAACTAACAGAACATCTGTTCTCAAGAGTTCCTCTCTCTTTTCACACCACAAAAGGTAAAGATGACCTCATTAAACATCTTTAAATGTACCTGGGAACCTGGATAATTATTCATTTGTAGATTTTCAAGTATGAATACAACCCAAGTAACGTGGAGATGCAGGATAAACATGTTGCATCATACTTGCATTTTGTTTGACTTTTACAAGTTCTAGTAATTCATCCATCCATTCATTTAATCACTCTATTTATTCAATTATGTATCTACTATGTGCCAGGCGAGGCATTTAAGATACAAACAGGAAGGCCAGGCACTTAATCCATGAACAGGAAAAGTTTCAAAGGACCACGGAAAACTTATAATACCATGGTGACATGACTGGTTCATAAAACAACTTACTGAGTATCTTGTGTGGCAGATGTTGTTGTACTTAATGCCAAGATCAGGCATCATTAATAAGATTATACTTAAAAGGATTCTGAAGGATAAGCAGAATTTGGGCACAGGAAGGATAGTGCTGCGGACTCAAATAGCTGATGATGACGAGAGGCAGTGGGGATAAAAACTGGCAAGGTACTTGGGATATGGTGGGATGATGGAACAGACTCCACTTTGTGGGTATTTGGATCTAGAGGATAAAGAAAAGCAGAAGCTCAAAAGGAAACCCGGGTTTTTCCACATGTGACTGGGTACCAGGATATTACACATAACATATTAGAGGAAAACTGGATTTAGTAAGTATAGACTGATGTGTTTTGATTCAGATAGAATAAATAAAAGGTGTTATGAAATAATTCTGTAATTGTTGATTAGATACAACAATTCTGAAATTCAGTAAAAATTGAAGAGAGAGAGACTGGGCGTGGTGGCTCACGCCAACAATCCTGGCACTCTGGGAGGCCAAGGAGGGTGGATTGCCTGGCGAGAGCAAGACCCTGTTTCTAAAAATAGCCAGGCGCTGTGGTGGGCCCCTGTCGTCCCAGCTACCTGAGAGGCTAAGGCAAGAGGAACACTTGAGCCCAAGAGTTGGAGGTTGCTGTGAGCTATAATGGCACAGCACTCTACCAAGGACAACAAAGTGAGACCATCTCCAATAATAATAATAATAATAAATAGAGATATACTTTGTTAGTTGCTTCCCTATGGATGGGAATTGTCATTTGGGACTATTTCTCGTAGACAAAGTGTGTGAGTTTGCTTTCTCCACACTTTTTAACCTGTCCAGTGAAGGTGAGATGATGATTTGAGGGAAGGTCACTATAGAGTCGTATTACCCAATACAAGTCTCTGTTACTAGTCATACGTTTCTGTTGAACCTTTGAAATGGGAGGGATGTGACTCAGGAACTGAAATTCTTACTTTTATCGGACAGTGTACCTAGAAAATGAACAGAGGAGAAAAGGATAGCAGAGAATCCTGTCAAGGATAGTGAATAAGAATTAAGATATAAGGTGGCACCTGTGGCTCAAGGAGGAGGGCGCTGGCCCCATAAGCTGGGGATGGCGGGTTCAAGCCTAGCCCCAGCCAAACCTGCAGAAAAGGGGAAAAGAATTTAGGTATAGACGACACACTTTCGTAGATAGAGGAAAGCAGGGACTAGACAAAAGGAGTGCCAGATCATCTCACCAATGTTCCCCTGTGTTAAGAACATGGCAGGTAGGATTATAAGGGATGGTATGCTACCCCTGCAAATAAAGAATTGATGTAGCAAAAAGATGTTTATCAATATTTGCGAATCTTCTAAAGTACTCCTGTCATCTAGGTTTAGAATCACTGCTCTAAAAACGAATCTGTCTTTATCCTGCATCTTCCCAAGGGACACAGGCTCCCTCAGTATAATATAGGAGACCAGTTGGAGTGTAGACATTGCATTTTGGCATCTGAGTTCAAGTCTCTCTTCTGTTACATATTAGCAGAATGATTGTGAGAAAGCGTCTTGATTTTTCTGTGTCTGACTTGCTCAACTAACTCTTAACCCTAGGTTAATACTGGGTTTTTTATTTTTATTTATTTTTTGTTATTTATTTATTTATTTTTTTTGCAGTTTTTTGCCGGGGCCAGGTTTGAACCTGCCACCTCTGGTATATGGGGCTAGCACCCTATGCCTGGAGCCACAGGCACCACCCTATACTGGGTTGTTTTAAGATTTAAATCACATTAAACATTTAGAAATACCTGGAACCTAATGAAGAGTTAATAATCACTGCTGTTATTAACCTTTAAGCTAAACGTGAAGAAGTATTTTATTTTAGACTATTTTAAAATGTAACTTAAAAAGACAGCCCATGGATTACTTTTACCAGAAGACGCATCTCTCTACTCAGTGTTGGGGTATTTCAGAGGCAGTAGGCATATGATAAAGCCAATATCTTGTGATTAATCTTTTTGATTATAGGGAAGACATCTTATCAAAAGAGAGTTTACAGTATTTTTGTAATATAGAATTAGTACTTTTCACCAAATTTTCTTCGATTAAACAGGTCAAATGCTTTCTTCTTTAAATATCTTCATGTTTATAATTCCAACTGTTTTTCATACCAACTCCCTTTTGTAATTTCCTGGAGTTTATATATGGAATAGGATGACAAATAATTACAGGGTTCCCAAACCAAAATGACATAAAAGAGAAGGATAATTAAAAAATGACACAAAAGAGAAAGATGATCTTTTAAAACATTGCTATGAAAATGCTTCTCATTGTCTTTGATTCTTCTTATTTCTCAGAGGCCCACATAATCCTGCTAAAGCTTTCGTATATATGCCTTTAAAAAACAATTCCAAGTCTAATATTCGTTTTAAAATACATTTCTACATTTCCTGAAATCTACTTTAGAAATCCAGAAATACAAATAGGCCAATCTTCTCCCTGTTTTATTTTAACAGTAATTCCCGAATTTGTAACCCAAGTGAACGTTGCCTTGGAAGCTCTCAGCAAGAACTCATTGAATGTGTTTGATGATAATCAATTTGTGGACATCTCAAAGAAGATCTATGATACAATTCATGATATCAGATGTTCAGTCATGATGGTTCGGGTAAGTTTTCTTTACTTTCCATTGAATTATTGCAACACTCATCACCATCTGGAATGCCTGAAATGGCTGCAAGAAATAATTTATTTCTGTGCTATAATGTCAATGCTGAAATTAATTCAAACTTTACAAGTTCACACGTATCCCCGAAGTCGGATCTACTGTCACAATAGCACTTTTACTTATGTATTTCGTGATAACTTATACAAATGAGGACATTTAACTGTGATGTTTGCAGAAAGGGTAGGATTTGTGGTGTGCAGGATTCATTGAGATGTCTCTTATGATGATCAAAGAAAGATAACACGAAATCATTTCTTTTCTTTCTTGAACTAAAAGAAAGAACCATTCTCATCACTGTAGTGGAATTGATGGGAGAATGTGTTAGAACAAGGTACTTCTATAGCCAACCTCTCTCATCGTAAATCACAGAATCATTGGGTGTTCTGCAAGAGCTTTCACTTGGAGATGCCAGGAACAAAAGACTCTTGTCTGGCAGTTGTCTATTTGGGGAAACATATGCCACCTTCCCAGGCGTATGAGTGCATCATTTGTTGTGGACACACTGCAAATACAGAGACAAGGATTGTCTTTACTCAAATATTAATGTAAAGTATTATTTTAAATGTTACTAAAAGCATAAGTTCTTTGTCAGAGGCATTTGCAAAGCTGTGAAGATACCTTGTCTTCAAGTAGTTTTACCTGGAGGCAAATCCCTGAGGTAAGACTTTGTGCTATCAGGAGTCTGTTGAGGATAAGGTTAACAGAGAAGGTGAGGCAGGGAGGAAGAAGGAACCCAATAGGTGTCATGAGGAGTCATCGCAGACGACTGGGACTTGATCATGCTGGTGAACTCTGAGAGGCACTGAGCGGTGCACTTTCACACCTCAAAATGACCTCACCCGAGGTAAACAAAACCAGGAGATTCACCTCTCTGTGCATCCGTGGTTAAAGGCCACCCTCACAGTCTCGGACTCAGGGCCAGTCAAGCTCTTGTGATGGAAGAAGGAACCCTCAGATGGGGTGGCAGGTGATGATGATATGAAGATTCAGTAGGACCGATGAAAGTAATTTGTATGTAGGACTGGAACTCAGTTCTAAAACCCCTGGTCTTAACTGTTAGTGAGACTTAAGATGTAAATAGAAATGCCACGAATATGCGGCAGAGCATCAAAATCTTCTGCTTGGCGGACATGTCATAGCCTAGACTGAGCAGTAAAAAACGGAGCCATCTGTGGACTTTGTAAAGAAGAGGGCCAAGGAGGCCTGCCAGGGCAGATGGAGCTACAGAAGAGATTACAAGAGAAAAGCTAAAGGTGTCAACATGTACCATCTAGAACTCTGGGGTTTGGAACAACCTGAAAGCAAACCAATTATACATATCAGAGAAAAATCCAGGACCTATATGTGGTGAGAAGCCTGCAAGAATTTGTTCAGATGTGACGGGAACATGTGACCCAGCACCAATGCTATGTCTGAACGCAAGGACCTTCACTAACTTCCCTGTTCTTGCAGAGGTTTTTATGCCTAACCTGTGTGCACTAGTGGAGTGGTAATAACCCAAAGCTGGGAAGGTAGAAACATTGAAACATTGAAACATTGAAAATGTGAAGACAGCGCAAGAACGTTGGGAAATCGTCTTGCCAGGGTGAAACTTCTACATTTCCAGGGTCCCTGGGTAGATATTTGAGAATACAAACCAGTGAAACAGCATAGGGAAACCAGGGGAGAGAATGTATTTTTTCCTACTAAAGCTATCTAGGGAAGAAAAAAAAATCTTATAGCTTCTCCAAGTTGGATGTCCCACTATTTCAAAAGGTCCTTATTATCAAGACATCTTACTCATAGCAAATAAAATTATCTTGCCCTTCCTTCTGCCTATCCCTCACATATAGCAATCCTCTGTAGGGCTGGAAAACAATTTATTGTAATTATGAATAGTCTTGGAGAGGAGTAATGTTTCCCTATAGTCATCTCTTTTTCAAGGTAAATACTTTCATTTCCGTTAACTTCTCCTCATGGGAATAATTTAGTATCTTGTGCTCTCTGCTGGTTCTTATTTAATTTTCAACAAACTTCTCAAAAAAACCCTATTCTAATTAGGTCTGTTCCAATGTCAAGCAAAGTAAAAGACTTGCTCTTATGCGTGACTTTCTACCATTTCTAACTGCCATTAGTTTATTTTTTCCCCTTTTAATTGCCATGATTATTAGATAGAGAATAATATCATTTTTCCCCATCTAAAAATAATCTTATTGTTGTCTATGTGTTCATTTTCCATTTTGATTTGACGTGTTTACTCTTGGTCTTAAAGCCTAATCCTGTTAAATGTTGTTTGTTTCTCCATGATCCTTTATATAATTTATCAGCTTGTTTTCCCATTTGGTTGTTGACCCTACCATGTTACCGTTCACTAGAAATGTGAGATGTCAAGGCTTCCTTCATACAAATTATTAGTAAAAAATGTTAAATTAGATTGGCCCTTCATCTAACTGTAATCCCTGCTAGATAGCTTCTGCTAAAAACCTTGGGAATTGGATGCCCCCTCCATCCAGCTGAGAGTATGTCTGAGAATATGTATATGGTTTAAAAGAGTGTTTTCTAAATTTTGAGGTAGATAATAGTCTTTACTTAAATGCACTTTATGGCCAAAAAGGTAAAACAGATAAAAACCAGTGCCACTGTACTTCAAGCCATGGAGGAAAGGCCACAGGCCCACCGTTTGTTCCTGTACCCCCAGTACCATAGGTAGCCTTGGGGATCTCTACAGAACTTCTATCGAGATTCCTAGAAGGATAATCCATAAACCTCTGGGCTTAATTGCCAGTTGGATTATAGGATAAAAATAGAAGTCAGGTGCAAGTAAATAAAAATCTATCTTTTTTTTTCTTAAAAACTACCCCTTTATCATAGGAGATAATAAAATTGATCTGGTAAAATCTCTTTGAAGGTCAACTTAATGCTGACCAATACTCTGGACTTAAAACTGCAAGGATTTGATGCTTTTTTCAAGATACATAAGGAGTGTCAACATTAAGGAATTGGTTTATAATTATGCAAGTTCAGGGAGGGCTAGGCTATGCTCTTGAGAATGTTTCTGAGTGATACAGAATCCTATCTTGTGTCTGAATTTTCATGAGCACTCTTCTGTGTCCTTGAAATGATAAAATACTAATTTAAGATCAGAACCAAAACATCTTAGGTCAGGTGTTTATATCCTATAAATAGTTCCATAAAATATGATTATGTCTGCATTTACTATTTATTTTGATTAATTGTTATGTTATCAGGTATTAGGATTATTTTACAAAGTTCCAAGGTAAATCTTGTGACATTTACTATTACTATCTCCGATGGATTCAGTGTGTGGACAGATGAGATCGTAGAATCTCACACTTAACAGACTCACAGAGCAGAGGATATTAAATATTCTGATACGTTTGGTGTTTAATGTCTATGTATGAATTTTACAATTATTAACAACCCATATTGTATAATGATTGAGATCAAAGCAAGTCACAAAGCTCACTTAACCTAAATTTTCTCCTTTACAGGATAGATCTGGCATTAAACCTAATTCAAAGGATTATTGTGGTGACGCAATGAGCTACTAGGAATGGAAAGCTTAGTAAATAGTAGTCTATTACAAGATGGTAGCTGTCATTACTATCACCACATAGAGTTGGTATTTACCAGCTACTAACGCTGCCTATTATTTTTGTGTAAATGCTAAACATAGAACTGAAGAAATAAGCCTGATGAGCAACATGCAGCCAAGACCAAAGAGCCAATTGGAGGGCAATGCCTTGAACAGAGAAATATGTTGTTTTTCAAAGCATTGTTTATATAAGAAGATACTTGCTTATTAACATCAGGTTTCTAAGCTATAGATTATTTAATGAAAATTATACTTTAGAACTCCATTTAAGCTAGGATTATAATTCTGCATATCATTCCTGTTAGCCTCCTGAAACATGAAAGGAGTGAACCCTCAATGTTTATCTGTTTTGGTCAAAGGTAATTAACTACAAATAGAGGAAATCTATAGGGCGGCGCCTGTGGCTCAGTGAGTAGGGCACAGGCCCTAGGATGGTGGGTTCAAACCCAGGCCCGGCCAAGCTGTAACAAAAAATAGCTGGGTGTTGTGGAGGGCGCCTGTAGTCCCAGCTGCTGGGAGGCTGAGGCAAGAGAATCACCTAAGTCTCAGAGCTGGAGGTTGCTGTGAACTGTGATGCCACGGCACTCTGCCAAGGACAACAAAGTGAGAGAGTTTAGAGTTTAGAGACAAAGTCTCTAAAAAAAAAAAAAAAAAATAGAAGTTTATAGAGGTTGACATAATTGTATTAGCTGTGAGAAAATAGCAAGGGTGGCCAGCAGTGAAAAACTCTCAAAAAAGAGAAACAAGATCCAGGTTAAATTAGTCCGGTAACAGGACTTTATACGTTTTATTTGTCAGTTTTCCTATGTGCCTCGCCAGAAGCACATAGTAGATACAGGGACACTTCCCAAAGCCAGTGAGAAGATGCTCAGGACCATCACTGAGTTTGGATTTTCCGTGTCAGTTTTTTTTTAATCTTATAGATCAGGGAACAGGAACATATTTTGGATATCTCACTTGATGAAGCTAATTTTTGAGGAAACAAAAAATTACTAAATTAAGTTGATTAAAAAAAAAAACACATTTCTACATCCCGATTTCCATGAACTGTTTTTACATGAAGTCATTTACCAGGCTTCTAGAATTGAAACGGTGTCCCATCTATGACTTCGCTGACATACACAGAATAACTCTCCGATTTGTTTGTATGTCTATGAGAATGGATGGACTGATGGCTTGGACTGCAACTATGCACCGTTTTCTTAATGGAGGTTGCTGGCAGTGCCAGGGCCTCTCTAAACTTTCTAAGCTTTATTCATTTTCCTTTACAATTCTTTCTTCTTCATAGAAATCTTTTTTTTTTTTTTTTAAACATATCTTCTGGATTGAGCTGCTGTCTGTTTGA